CATGATCCTACGACTCCAGAAGCGTGCGAGGGGACGTCACTTGGAGCGCAGCCACGGCAGCATTTCATACCAATTGTTGCGGGCTCAGGATGACATCACTGGTGGAAAAGGCCCTCTTAGCTCAGTCCAATCCACGCCCCATGACACGCCCTCTCGTTTGCAGGCACCTTGACTGTATAAGAACTATAGTTTATGCTCAGGTTGACAATAATAACTTGTTTACATTTATTACAACTGTAAACAACCATTTCTGAGCACTCGTAGATCACTATTGACATGTAATCGTGGGTTCGGTCTACGTTGACCTGTAGCTTCTGCGGATATCCCTATGAAGGGAAACAGAATGAAAAAGATAGAATCTCGAGAGCAGAATGAAAAGTGATAAAATCTCGATACAGGAACTAAATGCAAAATATGGCGCTAGAAACAAGTCGCAAGTATACAATCAACAATTAACACAGGACTATCACATCGGTTGATAAGAATCTGAAAAAAGTTCACACCTGCCCTGGAGTCACGATTTAGAGGATACATTCTGCAACAATCGAATGGGGGGGATTCATAACCACTGCGCCCTACTCACTGGTACCCCGCTTTTCCCATGCGACAAGAGGAAGGGCGCCCTTGAGAGTGGAACAATGGTTGTCAGCCTCCGCCCATGCGGTTCTTGCGGAAGAAGCCTTTGACGCAGATGTAAATTGGCATGAATCAGGTAATGCTGAAACCTTTGAGGAATCTCTGCGTTTACTACAGAAATCAAGTTAGCAAAATCTGTACAAGGATGTTAGAAATAGGACCAATGTTAATTTTGCTCTCAGAAGAGGTGGCTGTAAGAGGTCGGGCAGCAGTTTCAGATCGTTGGTGGAAAGCATTGAGCAATATCCTGCCTCCCCTCAACAAGTTAGTGGCTGCCATCCAAGGCTTTTCCACCAATAAGTCGGGCCGCGGCCCGCCTCCTAGATAGCGCACTAAATGTTTAAAAGTCTTATAAAGTCTCATACAGAAAATTTCACAACCACGAAAGACTTTTTCTAGCTAAATATTAGATAGAACCACATCACAGCGCTTCATCCTGAACCCTCCAAATCACCCAGAACATCTTCTTCTCATCCTCCGACGACAGGCAACTTCATCAGCTCCAGCTTTGGTGGGTCACCGTCGAAAAAATTTGCTGAAGAAACCAGCTTTCTTCGGTGACGATGACTGCGCAGTTGTCGGTGTTACAGCTACTTTCTCTGGAGGATCTTCAGGGACATCGGGAGTCGCATTTTCAGCCTCTAATATGATCTTCTTAACGGTTTCATCGTCAATGTCATCCTCGTCCGATTCAGAAAACTCAACCTTAAAACAAATGTTTTACACAGGAAACTTTAGGTGGCATTCACACTTAGCGAAACTGAAAAGTACTCGATTCGGGATAGGCGGCAAATATCGTTCTCTAGAATCCGCGGGTTCTGCTCATCAGTGAAACGCGGGTTTTCCGAATTCGTGAATTCTCTTATTGGCAAAGTATGAACGCAGCTTGATACGAGTGCATTCATACTTCGCGTCAGCGTTTTGAGCGTTCCAGAGTTTTGAGCGTTTCTAGCCAGTCATGAAAGCGTACGCTGGCGTCGGCTCAAAACGATGAATCGATACCTATACATTCCTCGTTGCTCACAACACAGACGTAAAGTCTGAACGTACTCTACTGCGAATGAAAAATTTACCTTATCCAGCTGTTTATCCCAGAATTTTCCGATCTCCCTGTTCACCTTCTCCACCTCGAGTGATTTCTGTCTCGCTGAAACTAATGGCTTCAAAGCTGGAAGAGAGAAGAGCCAAATCGAAGGAAGCTAATAAATGGCACTCACTGGCAGCTAACACACTTCTCATCTCTTGCTGAACAAGTTTGTCGTCTGCTTCAGTAGCTTTGACCCTTTTTTCTGCGTCTTCCATTAACCTGGAGATAATGTCAGCTACAATCTCTAGCGACCTATCCAACTCCAGCTGTTACTGAACTTAAGCTGCTTCCACAGATACGATCGAAAACATTCAGTTTGGACTAAAGTGCCCGACTTTGTTAAAAAGGTGGAATTTCAAAAAAGGGAAAAGTGGTGGGGAGACGGGAAAATCGGGAAGAAGGGGCGAATGGAAGAGGGGGAGGGGAAAAAGGAAGGGTGGGGGGGTATTTAGGGTACTTAAACAGGAAAACCGGAGAAACATCAACAACCGAGAAAGTGTTTTCATCAAAGGCATTTAGGCCCCATCCCCATTCCCTCCAGTTTCCCTCCCATTCAATTCATGGTGACAGTACAAACGACCAGCTACACTTGTGCAGTCCGTAACCTTCAACAAAGGTAAAATGGGGTAACAACTGGCGACTGTTATGTTCGCGACATGAAAATACGATGAGATGTGCCCTACAAAAGCCCCCTCACCTCTTTATTTCCTCCAACTCGTTCGCCGTAGCCTCGCTGAAAGCAGTCGCTGATGACACTGTGGACATACGTGGTTCATTCGCTGCACCTGTAAAAACGAAATATCCAAAGATAATAGCGTCGTTAGTGCAGAGTGATCAAAGAAGTTTCTGGAATTTTGAGGAAACGAAGACCTTAAAAACATTCAAAAGAAAACAGCGTTGCTTGGCCAGGGAGGGGCATTTTGTGCCTTCGCTATTTCCTTTCGCTAGTTCTTCTGAAATTACACCTTACACCTTTGGTGAGACCTATAAAATCTTATCAACTGCTAAAGGATGGCTCAGTTATTGTACAGCTTCATAGAAACTAGTCTCCACAGAAGGCATCAACGATGGGAACCAAATGTCCCCAATCCAGCCGTACTGCGCCAAGGAAACCAATAAATATAAAAGTAATAACAAAACTAAACAATACTTTAAGGCAATATACCTGGAGTGAGCTCGTTCGTCTCTGCTCCGTCAGGATTTTCGTTAGGCGGCGGCTCGTCTTCATATTTTAGACGTTTGAACCGTCTCTCCAATTCATTGCCCACGTCATGTCTTTCTTCAATCTCGGCTAAATCTTTTGCCTCTTTCATAAGCTGTTCTGCCGTGCCCGCTGATGGGCGAGGTTTCTCCGCTGATTCGAACATCTGAAAACACGCACATGGGGAGACGAAACGGGTGAACAAGACGATGTTCTAACATTTTTTCCATAGATTTGCTGGGGCAAAGCTCGCATCCAATGCGCCCACAACCCCTCCCTAAACTCTTGGAACTTTGTCAAAACCAAGACGCAGGAGTAGTGAGAAATTGATTGTGACCAGTATTTATGCGCTGAAATAAGAAACATAGGAGTGTTGAAGTAGCTGGAAAGGGAGAAACACTAGGCTTGTTGATCTGCGCCTTCCCAGCGAGGTTAGACCCCTGTCTCCAGACTCAGCCCTATGGTTAGAGAATGTTAGACGAGCAGTGTGTGGGCTAACCTTATCATCTGCTCACTCTCTCCCTCTCAACCACATTTCCCCGCTGTATACATACGCAAGAAAAAGAGTCAATAAGATGGAAGTATTGCAAAAATCTCGAACAAAGGGCTTTTCCACTATTCCACTAAGGTGGAACGTTCCAACGCAAAATCTCAAAAACCTGTTAAACCTGTCTCACTCTACCCACTCCGGAACTCCTAGGTCATGTAGATTTGAATAAGATTCCTCAACCCATGGCTAATATACCACTTTACGAATAGCACCGCTTAAAATACACGTCTTTATCGCGCGGCTTGTGGGAGCGGCCAGTGAATGCCGGTAGCACCCGCGCAGCCGCATTGAATTCTTTCGGGTAGCGGCGAGCGGGTCGAAGAACGACTGATACGAGCGACATGAGCACGTCGTTGTCTGCTTGTCGAAAGAAAAAGAAAGAAAGGGCTTGCGTGGCGGCTTGGCAGAACCATCCTCTGCTGGCCGCCCATCATCTATAGGCGACTAGCCCACGATGTACAGAGCAAAGCTATGCAACTCACGCAGCGTGGACGACGAATGAGCTCGACATCACAACCTCGCAAGGCAGCCAAACGCTCCTCGATCTCAGTGAGTGCAGGACCGTTGAGAGGGGTCTTCGGAATATGTACAGGTAAGGTACAACTGAAGTGACGGCAGTGCTCACAGACGTATTAAAGCTGAAGTAGGGACAGAGAATCTTGCTCAGCTTCTCACAGGGTTCTCTCACCTGGTTCCAGACAGCTGTGTCCTTATTAGCAGGTGGTTAGCTAACATCTCATTCCACCTCCTTGCATGGTGCGAGACGCCGGGTCTGGGTTGGCTGTGACCTACAGGAAAACAAGGCGTTGAAAAAAATGCGGCATGAGATCAGAAACGTGGCTCGGTAATGATAAAAAATCTGAGGCCAAAAAATATTGAAAGGATTCAGTTAAGTTGCATTCGGAACGCTTGTGTAAACTTGTACGACATACGGCAGCACGTCCTGAAGAATGGTGGAGTATGCCAGCACCCCCCAATTCGTTGAAGACGTGCTGGCCGCTCCTGAATGTGGCGCTTTCGGTGGATCAGCGATTGGTATTCTTGTAATCTGAAGTTCGAATAATCTATAATTGTAGTACCGATTTTCTACGGAAGAAAATTTTGCAATTCATTTTCAGCAGCATATTAACAAGGCCTGTGTCAACAAAATCATGCTGGTTATTGGATAGGAGTGAGCGGACAATGAAGCGCAGCTCAAGCACAGAACTGCTGCATCAGTCATCGCTCACATGAGAAAACGTGACTTTTGGAAAAAAAAACAATGCATTTTCAAGTTTGAGCAAGTTTTACCATGGTGCCATCCTTTTCTTGATTTTCCAATGTCTTAGCGTTGAGTTTTTCAAAACATCGTGCGCAGACGGTGACGGGTTTGTTGGCATATTTTGGTATGATTGCCCGATGCGGCAAACATTTCCGGCAGAATGAGAATGCACAGTTTGAACAGCCTTCCTGAAACAACGGCAGAACTTTTTTCATCTACTAATTCACAGCTTCAGCAGCATGGACTACATTTGCTAGCGGCAAAGGAACGCTTCGCGTTCAGATAAGCGATCAGTGCGACTCAAATACTAAACAAGATGGCAAATAACAGTGAAAAGCAGAATAAAGCAGCAAAATCCGCCCGAAATGCCCCAATTAGAGTCCCATGCTGAACCGTGCTCTGCTTGAGGCGAAGAGAGGGGCGTCGTCGGACGAGATCTCACTTGTTTGTGCCGACTCCTTCTCCTTATACCTCTCACCATTCGACATGAAGAGCAACCAGCGGAACAATCTCCAAGCTGCAGTTGAAATGAAAGCTGGGCGTTGCCGTGGCCAGTGGGCGGAGCCATGGTCCCGTCGCGAGCAGGCATCGCTTTCCTCACGTATCTTTCCTCTTCATCGCTGAACTCAGCTCAAAGAGCGGCGTAAGTAGTCATCTTTCCACCGCTTGCGACAGCACTACCTTTGAAAAGGCGCTTCAAGTTCAATGAACGCGAGCGCTACTAAGAAACTGTTAAAAGAAACAGATGAGAAGACAGTAACCAGCTGCTCATGTGCAGGACATCCTATGAGGACGAAAAAATGTGGGGAAACATTTCATGTGGGCTGCAAATGGGCCTTACTCCAGTATGGTAAGGTTATTAATCGATTGCATTCAGGATTACTTTTGACTTAGCCTAGGGGGATGTCATAGGCTCCGAAATGAGTTAAAGCAAAATGGACCATCTTATTAGCGTTCACAGATGACAGTGGGAAGCAGCAGTAAAGAATAAGTGAACACGTAAGGGCAAAGGTGCAAGAAATACTTATCAAATGCAGATCATAGCCGAGACAGAGTGTGCTTCCGAAATTCCCGTTTTCCCTTACCACTACAAACCTCGGTGCATTTCTGCCCGATGGGAGCACCTAATGGTGCTTAGCGAAGCTGGTTCAGGCCATCTCGAGAGAACACTTGTAAACTTTTGTAACCGAATGGGGCTCACTTGATTCGATCTCCTCAGCCTTACATAGTTCGCTGATCTGCACGAAGCGCAACCTGTTGTTTAACCCATTGCGTACCGCAGTGTATTTGCGCGACGCGATTTCTGGCGCGCTGAGTATAAAAACATAAGATTTTTATCTTATACATATAACATAAAAATATTGCACACACATCGTATTATGCATCACTTTTATAAGTATACGTATGCTAAAGGGGATTTTCCAATTCATTTGTTACGTGATAAAAGTGTAAAGCCGAAAAATGCGAAACTAGCCAAAAAAGCTTGATAAAATTAAGAGGAGTTGAAAAAGTGACGCAGTGTGCTTAGAAGCTGTTCACTCACACCATTTACACAATTTTTCAGTCGTATACTAAGCAGGATTTCGGTTTTATTGGTAAAGGAGAGTTAATTAAAAAATGTAATAGTTGAGGTATTACTCGAAAAATGCTAGCAACATAGCTATTATTCAATCTCGCAATTTCCCCCACACATATTTTGTCCCTGACGACTTCAGGAATATACCTACTCTTTCCAGTCATCTAACAATGCTAAATGAGTTCACACTAAGAGTGCTTCACCATGTGCAGCACGCGGTACGCAATGGGTTAATATGGGCCTTACGAGTGAGGGGACTACCGAAAGATGCAAATCCCATCTCAAGTCGAACAGTCGGCGAACATTAGTGATTCATGAAACGATCAAATGGAAAACCATGTTAATCAATAAATGGATACTCTCTAACAAATAAGACTACTGTGGGCTTATGCATGCACCTTGCAGTCTCCTAAGTTGAGAAGTTGTACAAAAGCAAGTCAATCAGCCCGCTTCAGGAGAAAAATATCAGAAAAGCTTGACTTACTTCCGGGTTGAGAATGGAGTATTTTGTATAACAATTCGAGCAGCAAGCGCTAGACGGCATTTGACGGCGTCGACGGGGACGCAGTGCAAGCGAAGCTCTGCGTAGAAGCCTAAAGGCTGAAAACCGAGAAATCATTTCTTCTTTCATTATTACACAGTCAATAACATGAGCTAGCTACCAGCACAATATTACTATAGCTTTCTGATGATTTTTAAAAAAACCTACACCTCCTATTGAGAATACTTTTCCACATTATGGGACGACAAGAGGCATTTGAGAAAGCGCCGCCGAAACTGTCACTGTCATATTCCGCCAATGATTCATCACCACAGTTAACCAAACAGACGTGATGTAAAACAACGCGCAGCGCGCTACCAGAAACATTGCACTCAACTGCCTCCGAACAATGCTAATCCGCATTTTGTTGAAAACTCTTTCTACAGCTACCTCAAATTCTTAGCAAACCGACTATAACTGTAAGGGAGAACCATGGTCTAAACCGGTCCTGTACAGGCAAGAGAACCTATTATGACGAGAATGCCGAAAAGAGAACAACCAACGAATGAGTCATCATCCAGTCAGGTGTTCACAACTGTACCCTATGCACTCACTTAGCCCTAGAAGTGCAATTTCGAGCAGTATTACCACCACAGCATCTCTACTAGCAGCTGTTCGTGGCGCTTTAGGCCGGGTTCATACATTGCGACTAGGAGATTCGACGATTTGAGAGACTCGGCAATGGGAGAGATTCCGCGACGAGGACAATAACGATACTGATGTGTAGACTGCGGAGACAGAGCGATCCGGCGATGTGAAAGACTCGGCGATCCGGCGTTCTGGAGACCCCCTCACTCTCAACTTTCTTCGTCGCGCAATCTCTCAAGTCGCCGAGTCTCTCAAATCGGCGGATCTCGTCAGTCGCGAAGTTTGAACCCAGCCCAAGTGCTCTGATGTTTGCTAAGTGATTCACCCATATAGCCGAGAGGAATTTCGCAGCAAAGCGGCAGCTCTTCTCGCATAGCGCTTTCTCAAACTACTTGCTGGAACGTGCACACTGAGCCCCGCCCCAACTGCCCCGCCTACCCCAGACACTTACCAATCTTTTATAAGCATTTTGATAATATTTCTCTGCACTTTTTCACGGTCACAACACATACAGTGACTGATCCGTAACCATATATACGGGAGCTCTAATCACAAGTTAGTATCATAAAAATAGAGAACATTTCTGGACTCAACCTCAAGTACGTCGCCAAGATCCAAGAAGGAATCAATTTTATAGACAAGATCTGATAACAATCGTGTTTGAGAAATCAGCATAAACAACATTTCAAATGAATATAACAAGCAATCAAACTTGTTGAAGATGCCTAGCGAACTAACTATCCTGATTAATTGGACTAAAATCCTCTTGAAAATAAAAACTTTTCAACAAGTGCCGATCCAGGCCCTTCCTTTATCGTTCGCATTCTTCCTTTTAATTCGTCAACATGTTGTAGGCCAAACAAGGTCCCTTCCCAATGGTGTCGGTCTCCAAGAAAGTGCCGAAGATCTTTCTCAGGCCTTGAATGGATATTGTTTTAAGCATTGTAAGTATTGGCTATACCGAGAAACTACGAATACATCCCCTCAACTTCTTTTCATAATAACGAGTTCCACATGATCGATATCTAATGTTACTTCATTGAGGAGATCCTTCTTCCGGCTGAGGTAAAGCGGTAATGTGTGATCTCGCCTCCTTCGAACATAATATGGCAAATTTGGTGGGGGATCTGACAAATACGCGGTCATTGATAACCGGATGATTTTAGCAAGAGGAACTTTGCCTTACGCATTCACAAAACACCACAATTACCGAGAATATGGAAGTGGATTAGTAGTGTTGTTAGGATTACAAATGAATGAGCGAGCGCTTGACAGAAACCCCCTTGCTTAACTCGATTTCAATCAAGGCCGCTCCACTCCACACACACACACACACGTGAATTGACACTGAGCAAAGGAAACGTAAGGTTGCGTTCATAATTCGCAACAAGGAAGAAAATTGTGGGGAAATTGGCATTTTGAGCGTTCTGGGAGAGTAGGCGTTTTGGACACAATCGATATCCATGGTTTCCTTTTCGCTAAAAATGCTGCCTTCCAAAACGCCGTGTAACAAAGTACGAAGGCAGTTCATCCAAATTGGGCTAGAGAAAAACGAGGAGCAAACATATCTTGACGAAAGAAAATAACGAGGACCTAATAGCTGGCAAAGCAGCGAGAGAGAAGGAAGTAAGCAAAAATCAGAGAGAGGGAAGTAAAGCCTGAGAAAGTACGAGTGAGCTTCAGAGCAATATATACGCGTACAGATCATCGAATAAATCTATTTGACTTTTCCACTTTCAATAAATAAAATAAAACGGGTTAAGCGTTTTTCGCCGCGATTTCCCGCCGTACTATTATGGGATGCGGCACTTATTCATCAGAATCGTACCGGACTTGTTGGAATGCGATGTGGCCATCGACTGCGGGGGCTAGAACAAGTCAGTGCCTCCCTGTCGGATCCTTCACCAATTTACTGTCCCGAGCGGGGGGGAGGGGGTAGAAGGCTTGCTTGTCATGAGCGGAAGTCGGCCCAAGATTTCAACGCTGGATCGCGCGAGCGGCAAGCGTGCCACTTGCCACTGCACCATCCCCTCCACCTTCCATAAGTATCACCTTCAAACGATCATCTTCTAGATCAAAACACCTTTTCCTTGCATCGACACCACCAACACCACAGCTACATTTCGTTGCCGTTCGTCTTTTCAACAAGAACGCTATAAGCCCCATGGACAGGGTAGGAGCCCTCAGATTGAATTGTGGCATGCATCGAAATTAGGAAGCAATAGCTTGTCTATGGAAAACGTAATGCGTTAAGGTGTGAAAAGAATAGAAGGATGAGCATCGTTGCAGTCTCAGAATTATTGGGAGAGTTCACAGTATTATCTGGAGTGTTTCGTGACCCATAGAGAAATCCTATTTCAAGCTGATAAGGAGAGATGGGGCTTTTGGAATTTGAGAGTTTGGTGGACCAACTCGATTTTTCGAGGTCTATTACACGTGAGCCAAGCTGCAACCATGACAATACAAAAGTATTAAGCAGAAGAGAATTGGAAAGAGAATACACCAAGGTAGAAGCTCACTGCTATGAACCAGACAATGCAGGATAAAATCATTTCGGTACTTATGAATTAGTGGGATAACCTTTGCGACGCTAATATGCCTCCCCTTACAGAGAAGTTTCGCTCTATGATCTATGACAGGTGATCACTACAAGGGTGCCGCTTGCCTACAGAAGCTCTAGATATGAAGGCTAGCTATGAATGGTTAGTGTAATAAAATACCTAAACTCAATAAGTCCGATCAGAACCGCATGAAAGATGCAGATTCAAAAGAAACTGCTTGAAAGAACTGATGGAATCAAAAAGAGAAGAAAGAATAATATTGCGATCAACACAGAAGAAAGACACGATTCGAAATGAACGGAACAGAACTCATACCTTGCGGTGGTTGCCATCCACTAGGAGTTGGATAGGAATCGTGAACGGGCAATGGTGGAACTACTTCGTGAGGCATCAGTCGTTCAATATAGGACCAGTCAATCTTGACCTCTTCAACCGAAGTGAATGTGGAAGCTGAAAAGAAATTATTGTTATAATTATTTACGATCAAGTTCTTGTTCTAGTTCTTTGAAAACTTCCAAAAAGAGTGATGCCGAAGAATTCATGTTGTTTTCTACTACAATTCAATCAGAACAAATATCGAAAACAAGTAATAAGCATGAAAACAGGTGCTCACTCCTCTCTGGTAGCGCACGCTTCCATGGATTAAGCCAAGGTTTTGCGTCGTCATCACTGGGTTCAGATGGGGTTGACAATGAACGCAAAGCTTTTCTTCGTATCAATGGAACTCCTCGTAAAGAATAACGGAGCATCTGTGATAATACAATTTTATTCGAGCATATAAAATCTTGAAAGTTGACAGTCGAATGTTCGTGGAGAGGGAGCAGTTCAGTGACGTTTTGCCATACGGTAATCGTTAGACTGTGCAAGTCACAGACATTACCACTTATTTTCCCACGAGGGGAGACGGGGTTTCGAAAAACAGATCCGGCTGGTTTGTCGAGCAAGACGTGGGATATGTGACGAGATAGTGAATGAAACATCCCGTGAAAGGTTCCCAGCATATTTCAAGCC